TCGAATGGGGGTATTAATGACAAGGTATATGGTTTGAGTTAGCAATTTTGGCTAATAATTTGCTGTAATTTTGGCTAGTAATTTACTGTAATTTTGGCTGATGACTTGCTGCAATTTTGGCTGATAATTTGCTGTAATTTTGGCTAGTAATTTGTTGTAATTTTGGCTAATAATTTGCTGTAATTGTTAGCCGATTTACGGCTGGAAGATTACCGGAGAATAACAACGTGTCATGGCGAGGAGACTCGTGCCTGAAAGATGGTTCGAGTTTGTCCGAAGATCTGTCCGTCAGCTATTACGATGCCGGGGATGCAATCAAATTCGACTTCCCTCAATCATTCGCCACCAATCTCATCAAGAGAGACATCGGACTTAGCCACCACAAAGCCAGCCCCCGCCGCGTTGCAGTCTATCTCCAGACGGCCCAATTCCCGGTTTAGTTTTAGTCTTCCCGCCATAAAATCGTACGGCACCAGCACCTTCTCAAGTGCAATTTTGAACCTTTTGGCCATTATTTCCGGCGGGAATTCTGGGTTTGCCTTGAAGAAATGGGCTGTCGGGATATCGTAGTTCAAGATTTGATCGATGTTGGACAAGAAAATCGATTTTTTCGGCGTTTCTTTGTATGGGAAGATAAGAGAGCTTTCTTGGAACTTGACCTTAAGGTCTTCCATGGAAGGAACTGGGGATAAGGCTGCCATTATTATTGTCACTTCAAATTTTTTTCTTTTCTTTTCTTGATCGTTGCTGTATCGTTGATGCATTATTAATAAGGGAAATTTCATGCAACTAAAAAAAAAATCATTTTCTTAATTGGAGAAAAGGTAGTTTCCTTGTAATTTTTGAACGTTTCTTTACCGCGTCTTTCCTTCTAAAATGTTTGACTTCTCCAATTTAGTCCACCTTTTTTTAAATTAAAACAAGAATTTTTGACTTGATATGGATAATTTAGTATTTTCTAGTTTTCTATTCAAGGGGGTTATGTGCTAACTTCATACCATAAGGGGGTCATTTGCAAAATGTCAAAACCACAAGGGGGTTATGTGCCTAATTTCATACCATAAGGGGGTCATGTGCAAAATGTCAAAACCACAAGGGGTTTATGTGCCTAATTTCATACCATAAGAGGGTCATGTGCAAAATGTCGAAACCACAAGGGGGTTAAGTGCTATTTACCTAATTTTTTTGTTGGGTCCAATTTGCAAACTTTTGGGATTATTGTTTTTTATATTTTAGTTGAAATAAATATCAATTTTAGATATATAATAAATAAATTAAAGATTCGGAGTGAATAGCACTTAACCCCCTTGGTTACAACTTACAAGCTTTTGCAGATGACTTTCTTGTGGTCGTAATATCAGCACATAACCCCCCTTGTGGTTTATTGGGCCGGGATAGTTTACATTAATTTTTCCGTCAAACTTCAAGGAGTCATCTGAAAAAAGGAAAGGGATAATGAAAACACAAGGAGGTCATCTGTAAAAAAAATACTTTGACGTTTGACATAGGCAGTTAAGTTTCATGAAAAAAACTAACGAAAGCTACCCCATCAACCACAAGGGGTTATGTGCTGATATTACAAGGACAAGAGGGTCATATCCAAAAGCCTGTAACCACAAGGAGATTAAGTGTTATGTAGCCTAATAATTTAATTTAGTTGGACTAATATAGATATAATCGTATATGTATTCAAAAAATTTAAGTATTTATTATTTTCTTTTTGTATTTTAAGAATATTAATTGTCCCTCTTAAGTTCATGTTCTTGCAAAAGTATATATTATTCTAGTTGCAAAAGACACCCCCGAGGTATTTATGCTTTGTACTATCAGTCAACGGGTAAAATGATATTGGTCCAATACTGCAGTCTGAAGTATTTAATTGGGTGATTTTTGCTAATTTTTAATATTAGAATGGTATTTGTTAACAATGTGGCAAATAGAGGACAAAAAGTGAAAATAATGTCAGTATGAGGGACTAAAATGTAATTATCCCTAAAAAAAGAGTAGAATATTAGATAAAAGTATATGAAAGGGACTGAATTTAAAGTATAGTGTGAGACAAAGTGTATTGAGCTGGCCCTGATCACTAGATAGTGCCACTTTATCTGTTTCTCGTACTGATGTACAATAATTCACTTCATTAATATTAATGTAAAACACATGCATGTTTTTTGCAGGGGAGGGGATATTCGTGCATGTGGAAGAATCAACTTACCTAACCAGCTAGGCTACAACAATTTTAATAACACATTCTTATTTAACTATAATTATTTATTTCATTATACTGAGCAAAAAACTAATAAATACGCATTGTTACCAAGAGTCGAACACGGGCTATTGTGTAATAGCCGAAACGTCTGACCAACTAGGCTACAGCAAGTTTCAAACTAATACTTATTTAAATATATTGACTCATTTCGGTTATACTGGGGGAAAAAAAAATTGAACCGGACGACCGGTCCAGAATCGGCATCTGGACCGAACGCCCGAAGTAATTTTCTACGCCCATTTTGGGCGAGGGAAAGCAGTTTCCACGCCTAAACCTAGCGTGGAAACTGCTTTCCCATGCCCATTTTGGGCGTGGAAAATTCGAAAACCCAACACTAAAAACTGCCCCAAATCGCAATTTTCATGGGATTTTCACATGATTGACCACAAATTCAATATATATAACTACTTTAGATGATTAATTACCTCTGAAATTGACGAGATTTTCGGATTTGGGAGGATTTGTGAGAGAGGTTGAGGATTTTTGTGAATTTTGGGGCTTTTGGGGATTTTGGGGTTTGGGTAGATTTGAGAATTTTTAGAGAGAGAAGGAGAAGACTATTGTGAACGACATTCGTAATTTTGCTGCCGCGTAAATCATTTCAGTTTTTGTAGTGATGTACAATAATTCACTTCATTAATATTCATGTAAAACACATGCATTTTTTTTTTGTACTGATGTACAATAATTCACTTCATTAATATTCATGTAACACACATGCTTGTTTTAAGACAATAATTTCAATGAGTCGTTTTGTTTTTTAAAGTGGAAACAATAACTTTTAGAGTGTGGGTCACTTTCTTGTTGAAGTGGAAACATTTTATTTTTATTTTTTATTTTTACCGAAAGAACCTACAGACAACTATATAGGTGCACTGGGTAAATCTACACTCTCGTATATATATATATATATATATATATATATATATATATATATATATATATATATATATATATATATATATATATATATATATTTTGTTGTACTTCCTTTAAGGGTGGCATGTGTATTTTCTTATTAAAAGAAAAAAAAAGTATCTTTCAAGATTTTAGATAGGGGAAAAATGCAATAAGTGCAAATTTAGTTTTTCACGTTTTCCGTGATCTAAGAATCCCGACCGTGTTGAAAAGGTTCCTAGGTTTAAGACAGGGTTCTAGTTATAAAAGTAAGAATTCCCACATGTTACATGCAGGCGCTAATCGATCGATACCGATTCATCGATAACTTTTTTTTTTTTTTTTTTATATATATAATTGCACTAATAGGTTATAGTGCCAGATGTTTGTCCTCTTTTAGTATAAGTAACTAGCGAAGAAGAAACGCACAATAATTTCGGCCGATTTGCAATTATTTTATAACAAAAATAAAATCAACGGAATTTAAATTACGTGTATATATATCCCAACTATTTTCCTTTTTTTGTTTCTTTTTAATTGCCAAGTGAACGTCGCGTGAAGCCGCACATGATGATTTCGTCCAAGTATACACCCAAATATGACTGCCGGACCAAAATTATCAAAAAGTTGTAATTTTGAGGGAGTAAATAGCACTTAACCCCTCCGTGGTTACAAACTTTTACAGATAACCCCCTGATGCTTTTAATATCACCACATAACCTCTTCGTGGTTGATCAGGGTAGCTTCTGTTACTTTTTTCGTGTAACTTAATCGCCAGTGTCAAACGTCAAAGTATTTTTTTTTTCCAGATCACCCCCTTGTACTTTCATTTTTGCAGATGACCCCTTGAAGTTTGTCACACACGGTTAAATTTAAGGTGAAAATTAACGGAAGCTACTCCCATCAACCACAAGGTGGTTATGTGCTGATATTACGAGCACAGACGGGTCATTGGCAAAAGCTTGTAACCACAGGAGGGTTAAGTGCTATTTACCCTTTTGAGGATCTAATCTGTGGCGGCAATGTTTGAGGACGAAAATTATTTTAGGTTGTAAGTATAAGGATCAAAAGTGTAATTATCGCTTGTAATTATATGTTATAAGTTTTGTTTGACCTGTTCGGAATTGTTTTTTCTTCTTTAAATACCGCGAGACACTATTTATTTTAGCTTAAGCAATGAATATATTTTCTGATTATCGGTGAAATGTATCATTTATTAATATTCATATCTCCAATAGTAAAGAAAAAATACAAGATGAAATCAAAAACAAAGAAAAACAAAGGTCTTCGAGTGAGTTGACAATGTCATTTAGGCTCTGATTGGTTCTCAGAAAATGCCAAGTAAAATGGTGAAAAGTCAAAGTAAAATACTTTTCATGTTTGGTTAAAAAGTAAAAAGGAGAGTAAAAGAAAACTAGGAAAACACGGGAAAAAAAATTAGCCTAAAATAAGGAAAATCTCTTTTCCTCAAAAAAAGTGATGAAAGCCCTAGGAAAAAAGTAACGGGACTTTCTTCTTCACCTCTCTTCTTCACTTCATCTTCTTCAATTCGCTGCCATGGCTTCAAAATTACCATCTTCTTCAAATTCTCGCCGTCGATCACCTTGATTGAGTGCGAATCTGCAAATCCCACCGTCGGACATGAAGAACGGCCGAAGACCACCAGTTCGGCGAGGTCAAATTCCCAATTTTGGGTATCGTAACTTGAATCCGCCGAGAGAGAGAAATATGGAGTTAGACGAGAGCTATAACAGTTTTACTCAACTGCAGGATGATGATATTGAACCGATTGAAGAGGTATTTCGCCTGATTTAAGTTTTTTTGTTATTTCCCTTTTTTCTAGTTTTTTTTTTCTCCGATTGGGAAGCCTTTGCATATGTGATTAGAAGGTGGGTTTATTTTAGGAGTGTGATTGTTGATTGGATAATTTAGCTTAATTTTAGATTTTACAAATATTCAATCTGCTTTTCATTTTATTTTGGAAGAAACAACTTGTTGCATTGTTCATAATTCATGGGCTTTCTCCATCAATGAGTTTCATATACTAATTACACCTTGTTGATTATGTAAGCACCATGTATTTTTTAGTGGGTTATTTCTTGCAATGATGAAGAAGCTGGTGATATGAAACTATATGGAATAATTGATTTAATCTACCACATGAATGAGTATTATGAATCTCGGTAGTTAATTATATATAAGAAGTATTAATTCAACATATTTGGTTTTGAAGTTCTATGATTATGTTCAAATCTGGGGATGATAATCTCTCTAAGTTAATTATTGTTATTTTCAAGAATTGCTATCTATTTGCTGAAAACTTTTACCTGTCTATTGTACTTCATTTTATACAGAATGGTAATCACGATCAACGTGAAAAAGTGAAAAAATGGGCAGCTACATGTATAGTTGTTTATGCAGCACATGTTGCATTTCTTTGTTCATTAATACGGGGTCCGACTTTTGAAAATGATTCTGGTTTGGAGGAGTTGGACTACGGACGACATAGTATAGTGAAACGACTCACAAAAATGAAAGAGGAGAATTGTCGTAACCAGTTACGAATGGGGAAAAACGCTTTTGCAAATCTCGTGTACATACTAAAAGGTAGAGGTCTTCTTAGAGATACTGCACGCTCTAGGGTAGAAGAGCAAGTAGCTAAGTTTTTGTACATAATTGGTCATAATCAAAAATTTAGAGTAGTCGGTTTCAACTTTAGACGCTCTGGTGAGACGATTAGCCGGCACTTCCACCTAGTGCTTCGAGCAATTATATCTCTTGAAGAGCTATTCTTAAAGCAACCTAATGGAGATGAGTGTTCCAAAAAGATTCAGGATAATCAAACTTATTGGCCATACTTCAAGGTAAAATACTTGAATATGTAAATAACTTTTATAAATATTTTACATCCATTATATTGATGAATTAGCTACAGAATTGTGTAGGTGCAATTGATGGAACACATATTCGACTCAAAGTTTCAAATAGTGATGCACCAAGATATCGTGGTCGCAAGTCTTTCCCTACTCAAAATATTTTAGTTGCATCCAATTTTGACTTGATGTTTACTTATGTGCTTCCTGGTTGGGAAGGATCGGCCTCAGATTCCAGAATTTTGAATGATTCTTTGACTAGGGAAATTGATCGTTTAATCGTTCCTGAAGGTAAGAGGCTCGAACTAAATTAAATATCAGTTCTGATCCAATATTCAAATTATATTTATTGTTTCTTATAAATGATTATTTCTCTAGGTAAATACTACCTTGCAGATGGAGGATTCCAGTTAAAAGTAGGATTTTTGACTCCCTTTCGTAGTACTCGTTATCATCTTAATGAATATAGTGTTCATGGTCCACAAGACTTTCAAGAACTTTTCAATCTACGCCATGCAAAATTAAGAAATGCAGTCGAACGTTCTTTTGGAGTCTTGAAAAAAAGATTTGCAATTTTGAGAAGTGGGACGGAACCTCACTTTTACGCTGAGGCATTAGGTGACATTGTGTTGGCAGGATGTATTATTCACAATTATCTTATGGGTGTTGATCCAGATCAAAAACTTATCGCAGAGGTTGATAGAGAGTTGGCAGCCAAAGCTCCTGAAACTTATCCAAAGTTAGTTGATGATTGTAGGAAAGGGGAAATTCTAAGAGAAAGTATTGCACTAGATATGTGGAAAAGCTATAACATACGTCGTCGGTCTTAATATGTTTGTCTGATAAAATATTATAGTTTGAGTTTGTTTTGTCTTTCATTTGGCTGCACTATCTATTTTTAGTTTGATCAATATTCAGGGGTCGTTCCAATATACCACAATAAATTTAGATGATGGATCGGGTGGAATTGAATGGTAAGATGAAATCAGGTTATGCATATATTTTTTGCATTAAGTTTTTAAGTTCATATGTAAGTATACATGTTATGAATTTGATCGACTTTTCAAATAATTCTTTTATCTAAAAAGTTATTAGTTTTGTTCTGTCATTAAGACTTATTAGAAGAAAAAAAAAATGTTTCTGATTATATATTTTACTTGTAAAATGCAGTATGAAATTGACAACGAAGATGCAATCGAGGGTGACAAGAAGAATCTGAAATGGGGGTGATGACATGGATGCTTGTTTAATTGATTCACTCGTAGAGCAAAAAGTTAAAGGGCAAAAGATTGGTGGCAACTTCACCAAAGCTGCATATAGAGCTACATCAATGGCGGTATCTAAAGCATTTAGCATTATTTGTGATCCTGCGCATGTGAAGAATCGTGTGAGGACCCTGAAAAAACACCTTGCGGTGATGAAAGACTTGATTGAAAGTAAAAGTGGATTTGGGTACAATGAATCAAATAAGATGATCGAAGCTGAACCTCAAGTGTGGGCAGAGTATATCAAGGTAAATAATATTTATCAACTATAAAGTTATATTTGATATAAGGATCCCTATATCATGCTGCCCTTGATGTTAAATTAATATTGTTCATTTTACAAGGTGTTGATATATTTTTCTTGAATTTGATAGTCAAAACCACTTGCAAACCAATATCGATTCAGTCCTGCCCCCAATTACGAAAAGTTAAACGAGCTTTTTGGATGAGATCGTGCTACGGGAAGTAGGGCCATTGGTCCAAAAGAAAGACAACGTCAATGGGCGAATGAAAAAAATACGTTTGCAAGTGGCAATGATACTCATTCTTTGGGGAATGAGGGAGATAAACAAAATGATAATTCTGGGCCAGAAGTCCATAGAGATGACAATGAAACTTCTTCGTCTAAAGATCCAATATTCAGAAATTTTTATGAAGAGCCAAAGAAAAAGAAGACTAGAATTATTGACATTGTAAGTGAAGAAATTAAATTATTGAGAGGGGGGATGGATAGAATTGCTGCTGCATTGGAACAAGGATATACAGAAGAGCAGTTGCTCGAGGAGATTGCTGGAGTTGGTGGTATGTCTGAGATTTCCCAAATGTCCATTTATCAAAGTCTTACATTGGATGAGAAATCAGCTCGAACTTTTCACAAGTGCCCGATTGAGAAAAGAAAAGTTTGGTTGTTGGTAAAGTTTGGTCCTACTGTGTTTGATGTGTAGTGTTTTTTGGACTTCGAAATTAGTTTTATGTAATTTGTGCATTTATTTTGTTTTCTTGAACCTCGTAGTTTGAATTTTTTTTTTCTTAATGCAAGAACTTTGTAATTTGAACTTGCCTCTATCATTTTTACCAAGTTGATGTTATTCTAATTTTATTATTTGAGAAATTAGTGATAATTCATTGTTATTTTTATTTTACTTGATATTTTCCTTCCATTTTTCCTAGGAACAAAACAAAAGTAAGAAAATGATTTTCCACAAAATCATTTTCATCACCATTTTTCCTAGGAACCAAACACAATTGGGATTCCAAGAGTCCTTGATTTCCTTTTCCTTTGCATTATCATTTTCCTTATTTTGAAATCCATGAACCAACCAGAGCCTTAGCAACGCAAACAAATTTAAAAACCAAATTCAAGAAGTCCTTGATGACAATTTCATAAAAAAACAAGCTACTCGCGAGCCACAACCACAACTTGCTTCCCGACATTGCGGCCGGAGAAGAGCCCTACGAGAGCGTTTGGTGCATTCTCAAGGCCTTGGGCTACATCCTCAATGTACGTTATTTTCCCTTGTTTAACTAGCGGCACCATCATCTCCAAGAACTTTGGATAGAGATTGTAGTAATCGAAAACCAAGAATCCCTCCATGCGTATTCGCTTCGTTACAAGGCACAACAAGTTTCGAGTACCTTCATCTGGATCTTCAAGGTTGTACTGCGATATCATTCCACAAACGGCAATGCGGCCGTTGACTCACATGTTGAGGAGCACCGCGTCGAGCATCTTCCCTCCCACGTTCTCAAAGTAAATATCGATGCCGTCCGGGAAATACCTAACAAATATTCAATTCATTAATTAGGTTATATATGTTTTATTTTTTCATAGATTTTGAGATGAGAAAAATGAAAATGTAGAAGCAAATGAAAATAAAAACTTTGAAAATTTCTAGTATGTTTTTTTGGACTTGTAAATTACCCGATAGAGGACTTAGCTTGTTGCGGTTTTACGTGTAGTTTACTCCGTCTTTTTTTAAACAAAAATATATTTTCCTTGTTGTAGTCGCAAAATACTTTCTTGATTGTTTCTTCGTTATAAATGAAAAACATAATACTCCATCTGTTCCACAATAATGGTCTCTTTTAAAAATATTTTTGTTCGATATTATCGATCACTTTAAATTTCCAATACTACATTAAATACATTTTTCCTCTTTTAACCTTATTAATGCAACTCTAAACATTAATTCTTTCTTATAAATCATTAAACGATACAAATTGTTTTAGTCATTTTTATGTGATTTTTCTAAAATCGAGCTACATTTATTGAGTTGCTTAATCTCTGTGAAAAGTGAAAAGAAACACTTATTTAGGAACGGAGGGAGTATTAATTTTGCTAACTTGCAGATTTCGTGCACGAAAGAATAAACTCACCTCTTTAAAGCTGTATCTAAATTAGGTTCTTCTTTGTAGTTGAATGCATCATCAAATCCAAACAAAATTGATTAAAACAAAGTTATATATATATATTTACTAATAAAATATAATGGAAAAAAAGAAAAACAAAATTTGAATTTTGTGATCTTTATATATTTTTAAAGACCTTATCTTTGCTTCCGGCACTGCCGACAACATAACACCCGAACAACTTGGCGAATTGGCCAACGGCTCCCGATGCAGCAGAAACGAACACATATTCTCCCTTTTTCGGAGAGCAAATCTCATAAAAACCAATATAAGCAGTATGCCCAGGCATACCTATATATATGGGAGCAATTACATATGATATTATTAAGTTCATCATAAACATTCATGCATGCAAAAAAATAAAAAATAAATAAAAAAACGAGAGAAGGGCAAAAATGTCAATTTACGCACCGAGAATTCCGGTGTAGTAGGAGAGAGGCAGATCTGCATTCTGAATTTTGAATAAACCCTGTGTTGATTTAATGAGGCTGTACTCCTCCCAGCCTGTTAAACCCCAAATCAAGTCGCCTTTCTTGAAATCGGGATTAGAAGAATCCACGATTTTCGCCACTCCATATCCGGTAATTGTCTAAGTAATAATAAAATTTGTGTTTAGTTATTTATACCTCACACTACTTCTTACTAGGATATATACAATGAAATAGAATTCGGGAAAAGTACAGTTTTCACCCTTTATGTTTGCACAAATTTCACAACAGATCGAGTGTGTGCCCTCACTGCCTTAACTGACGGACCAACGGTAAGTTGACGGAAATGACTAAAAGTGTTGAATTGAAGGACCAAATGTATTTTTTTCTTAATATAGGGGACCAAATATGTAATCAGTCTAAAACTTGAGGGGCGAAAACTTTAATTTTTCGAGTATAATTCATTGATGGGTGCAGCATAGAACAAAGGGGAAAATACAAGTTTCACCCCTCAAGTTTCCACCGATTTCCAATTTGGTCTACCATGTTCACAAAAAACACATTTGGTCCCTCATGTTTCAAAAATTCAACATTTTTAGTAATTACTGTCAATTTTCCGTACGGAATCAAACATGTGCTTATCCCTGCCGTAACCGACGGACTAACGGTGAATTGACGGAAATGACTAAAGTGTCAGATTATTGAAATACAGAGGGATCAAATGTGTTTTTTATGAACACGGTTGACCAAATGTAAAATCGTTGCAAACTTGAGGGACGAAACCTGTAAATTTCCCATAGGCCAAACATACTTCTCTGAATCCTCCCCATACCAAGGTACAATCAGGTGAGTACAAATTAAACACCAAAAAAAAAACAGTCAATCAGAAAATACTAACCGAACCAGGGCTAAAAGAGTCAATGTAGTTGACTGTCCGTTTTCGCCATGCGGCCGCGCATGTAAGGGTCGCAAGACAAGTAGAGATTCTTGACCAAAACGGCGTCGTTGGAGCATTGGTTTGGGATCTTCAGTTTAACAATGGAGTTTTTCAGAATCAAATCCGACTCTTTAGCGAAACCCTTTACATAGTCCTTTAGTATAACCTGCTTGATGCTCGCTTCCTCCACCATTTGTTTTCCAGTATGTGTGTGTGTGTAATTCTGTAGATATTGGTATTTTTGTTAGAGATATAGACCTCAATAATGGAAAAAGTACACTTGCTTTGTTTCTTTTAGGTAGTGGAATTTTAGCAAATCATATTGTAGATAAATGAATTTTCAAGCAATTAAAATTGCTAATTTCCATAGAGCTGAGCGGATTTTTTAGCAAATATGTAATTATATATATATATATATATATATATATATATATATATATATTGACCAATAGGATTATTTCTTCTTTCCCAAGTTATAAGAGATAAATATCAATTAATTATTGGCCAATAGAATTATTTCTTTTCTTTCAAGTTACAAAGAGCCATCAAGGACTCTTGTTCTACCACTATAAATAGAGACCCTCCTTTCACAATTCAGACACAACTGAAGAAGCAAAAACCGTAGGAGCAAAATTCAAGAAGCAAGGAAGAAGAATTAGTAGGAGGTAAGTTTCTCTGTCCACATTCAAAGTGTTCTTCGTCAAATTCAATGTGTTCTTGAGCAAATTCAAGGCGTTCTTCATCAAATCTAGCGTTCAATTCGAGATTACGGTGCTAAACCTTCGGATTAACGTTAATAAATCCAAGTCAATATCATTGAAAGATTGAAGGGTCAAATCCATCAAGAATTTCAAGATCTTTTTGTCAAATTTAGTCAAACTTCAACGTTCGATCCGAGATTTAAGTTGCGAGACCCTTGGAAAACGTTGTTCAAATCCTAAATCAAATCCGGAGAAGATCAAGTCAACGATCCGACTCCGAAAATTCAAGTCAACTATATATTGTTCTAAAGAGAAGAATGAGAAGATTAAGTAGAGATTGTAACCCGCAATTTATTTATTTCAATTCAATAAAATTATATTTGTTCAATTTTTCTTGTTTGTTTATATCGCAGATAAGAATTTGTTGTTACACATATTTTTCTACTTTTCTTAAATATTAATTATATTAGAGCATCTTCAACCAAATATGAATTATGAAATTTTCTCTATCCTATTTGTGAAGATTTGAATTCTCTGCCGGCTGCTGCAAAATCTTCTCTGATACAACATTCAAGACTCGAAATATTTTCTTAGAAATTATATAAAAGAAAAATTGTAACAAATGATGAGTTGGCACTTTAGAGATCCTCAAGACGACACTTCAATTTCAGAGTGTCATCTTAAGTATTTATAAAATCACAAGTGCCACGTCATTTGGAGATTTTTTTTTTCAATTTCAGAGTGTCATCTTAAGTATTTATAAAATCACAAGTGCCACGTCATTTGGAGATTTTTTTTTTTTTTTTGAGATTTGCATTGGAGATGATTCTCAAACAAAAATCTCAAAATATCCTATGTGCACTCAAAGTATTAGAGATTGAGGTTAGCATTAAAGATGATCTTACAGTCGAGACTAACAAAATCCTATTAATTTAACGAAATATTAAATTATCGAACCAATAATTTAGTATGTTTACATTAAGTCATCTTACAATCTGGACTAACAAAATCCTATTAATTTAACGAAATATAAAATTATCGAACTAATAATTTCCGCCGTATTTTTCACTATTTTTAAGGGTGTTAGTGAATGTTTTCCATAACACATGGGTGTGAAAACAAAACAACTGTAATAATTTTTGAAATTAAACATTGAAAAATCCGGTTAGACTTTTGGACAAAATGCACTTCGCCCTCTAGAAATTTTTACTTAAATGAGACCCTCCCCCTTCCAAAGTTTGTGATAGTTGCACTTTGCCCAAAATGGGACTTTCCAACGTATTTTTACCGGTTTTTTCATATCTCCATCAACTTGAAAGGCATTTTTGTTCTTTCACCAATTTCACCCAAATATTAATATATCGTTGAAAACCCAGATGCTGAGATGGGTTTTGCGTTTCAACAGGATGGATATTTCGCCTTGGAAATCGAGGTTGTCGGAGTAATTTAACCTCGACATAAAATGCAGCGGCGCCTGCACTGTGTTTCCTCCGTCGTCGCCGCCATGGTAGCTGGCGAACGGGCACATCTAGGCTACCTCGGATGGATCGGAGGATGAGGGGGTGTTGCCGCGCCGCCATCGGCAATGGTCACATGCATGGAGCATTTAGAATGTGCTGCCCGAAATCGGAGGAGGTCGGCGCCGCTGGCATCACAACCCACATGGCGGTGGCCGGCATCATATTGGCGTGCCTCATTAATCTTCTCGGAGATTAACTGGTGGCCACCAACGCACTGTGGAAAGAATGAAGCGCAGATTTCGACGCCGGGGCCAACAGAGTTGAGCCACTGCTTCTGAAAGAGATATTTAGGCACCATAAATTGGCCGGAATTGTGCCTGTACAAGTAAGTGGCAACTATAATATTTGGGTGGGATTGGCCGGTCAAAAGACAAAAATGCCCTTCAAATTCACGGAGATATGAAAAAACCAGTGAAAAATACGGCTGAAAGTCCCATTTGGGGGCAAAGTGCAACTATAACAAAATTTGGAAGGTGGAGAATCTCATTCTTGAATTTGTAGGGGGGAAATTGCGAAAACTAGAAATTTCTAGGGGTGAAGTGTATTTTGTCCTAGATTTTTTTATTGTAATGCAATATAATACATGATTTCGGCATGTTTTTTTTTTACCTATGAGTGGAGCCAACTCACGTGATAAACGATTTAAGTACGAGTTCAGATTCACTTTTAATTATTTAAAAAGCTCAGGCCTCAAAGTCTGTCTTCTTTGAAAAAGTTAGATTAATGAATTGATGGCCTTTGTTACTCTATTTGTATCCAACAGAAGGAAAGTTGAAAGTATTATTTTGGGGTAAAAATACAGTTTTAGTCCCTCACATTAGCAACAATTCCATATTCGGTCCCTCATGTTCATAGAAAACACATTTGGTCCCTCACATTTCAGAAAATCAAACACTTTTAGTCATTTATGTAAATTTTCCGTTAAAACTAACAGATTCAAGTCTATGTCCATCAATGACTTAACTGACAGACTAACGGTAAATTGATGGAAATTACCAGAAACGTTATATTGTTGAAACATAAGGGACTAAATGTATTTTTTGTGAAACATAAGGGACCAAATATGAAATCGGATCAAACTTGAAGGGTGAAAACTGTAATTTTTCCATTATTTTGGCAAAAACTATTATATATTTTTTAACTGTGCAAACCATCAACTTGATTGATAGCTAAGAAAGAAAAAAACAAGCATCAATTTGCACATATTTTCCTGCTTTTCTTTTCTTTTTTTTGGGCGGAAAAATCTGGCGTCCAGCTACCTCCTCAGGTGAAGTAAAATTACAAAAAAATCCTACATGTTTCGATAATTACAACCACCCATCAACTATGAATCTTCATTCACATTCATCTTTATGGTGTCAAATCCGAGACAGTCTTCTAGATTCCGTTCCGCCCGCCTGCTGGCGTGCGAATCGAAGTTCTTTTCCGGTCAAGTGCAAAAAACACAGTAGAATCACATTCATTTCAATATCCCCCCGCTCGAATGAGTTCCCCCGTCATCTTGTCCCTCGCAAAGGCGTCATCTTTCTTAAGTAAAAACGTGGAATGTTCTCTAGTTTGTATCACAATCTGATATTTACAAGCCAAGAGGCACATCTTATGATCATCTTGTTTCAAAATGTGGAGCTCAAATGGGGTAAAACGGATACAAACTGAAGAATATTCCACATAATCTAAAAAATTCCTCTAAATTTGGCACCGCAAGGGTGGACGTGTAAGAAGGGAATTTTTCGTAATTTGACCTTACCACAGAGATGGCCGGCAGTAATTTACCCCTAAATAAATATCTACATAATTGAAGTAACTTGTTAATAATGCAAATATGAATAGTTTTTGGATCCCTCGTGTAACCACCTAACCATATGAAACTTCATATAATAGACCTCTACTTTCATCATAAGTATCACCATTAAATTTCCAAACCAATCTCTCTCTCTCTCTCTCTCTCTCTCTCTCTCTCTCTCTCTCTCTCTCTCTCTCTCTCTCTCTCTCTCTCTCTCTCTCTCTCTCTCTCTCTCTCTCTCTCAAATACAAATACTTATTTTTTTTCTTTTTTTCTTTTTGAAGTAAACTATGTTGCTGAGTACGAGACCATTTTTCTGCCAACAAATTAGGGAACTTAACAACTTTTCTTGTGAGAAATCTCCGGTTCGATTCTTAGTTAACGTCGAAAAGAAAAACAACATAGCTAGAACAAGATTTGGCCAAATTAATATTAAGACAAAGGCAGCTAATAATAACAATGACCACATAGCCATCTCCAAGAAATTGGAAGTTCCACAAGGAATCGAATCCGGCAAGGGTATCGGAATACTTAAGTTTTTCGAAGGCAAAAACATTTTCGTCACCGGTGGAACTGGGCTTCTTGGAAAAGGTATGTATATATATATATATATATCGAAGTAGGTATCTGTTAATTGTGGTACGTTCGAAAGTAACATTAAATAAGATTTTGTACGTAGTTCTCGTGGAGAAGATTTTAAGGTCAACACCGGTCGGTAAAATCTACGTACTAGTGAAAGCGGATGATCAAGAAGCAGCCGTCGATAGAATAACAAAAGAAGTATGTTTTTAATTAACATTGCATCTTTATATTTAGTTGAACTTTATACATAGTTACGCGAATATTTTGCTTTTTCTTTTTTCTTTTTTTTTTTGTTTTAATTAGCTTATAAACTCCGAGTTATTCCGATGTTTGAAAGAAAAACATGGAAAATATTACCAAGCATATATAAAGGAGACTCTGATACCAATTGTTGGCAATATTTGTGAGCCGAACCTCGGAATGGACTCTGATTCCACTCATGCAATTATGGAAGATGTTAATGTTATTATAGAATCCGCCGCCATTACAACCTTAAACGAAAGGTTATTACTTTAATTATCTTGCTCTTTTCACTTAATTAAATTTCATCAAGACTAAATCAAGTTGATCGAATCTAAGTTTCTTCTTCGATTGAAATATTATAATTTCACGTAGGTACGATGTGTTACTTGAAGCAAATGTCAATAGCCCCCAACAATTGATGCGTTTTGCTAAGACATGCAAGAACCTTGAGCTCTTTGTCCATATTTCAACCGGTAATTATTATTAAGTACTAAAAACGACTTATTTCTAATTACTACGTATAGAGTTATATATGTATGAATAATCGAAATGTTACTATATATATATATATATATATATATATATATATATATATATATATATATATATATAGCATATGTCAATGGAGAAAGAGAAGGGATAATCTTGGAAAAGCCATTGATTATGGGGGAGAATAGAAGAAATGACGACACATGCAATACATCTCCATTTCCTCGACTCGATATAACCGACGAAGTAAATCTTTCGGTGTCGAGAAAACAAATGGCTTCTTCAAACTATGATTTGACTAGGGATATGAAAAGTCTTGGAATGGAGAGGTTAATTTATGCCTTTCCTCTCTCTTTTTTCTTTCTTCGAGTTATAATTTAACTCGTCGTTTAATTTAGGAACTATCATGAACACTTTACGGGCCAAACTTACGTATAACCAAAAAATGAGCACACATGCATCATAAATTTATAACATAATCTATTTTCTAACAGAGCAAATTTGTATGGATGGTATAATACGTATCACTTGACAAAGGCGATGGCGGAAATGGTAATTAATGAAACGAGAGGGGATATACCGGTCGTCATCATTAGGCCAACTGTCATCGAAAGTTGCTGTAAAGAACCTATCCCTGGCTGGATTCAAGGAAATAGGTGAAAAGAAATTATATCTATAATTATTTAAAAACAATATTTAATTATTTCAAATTATCGCGGAAACGAATTAACTATGTGGGTTGTCGTGTTTGTAGGATGTTCGATCCGATAATCGTTTCATATGGAAAAGGGCAGCTCCCAGCCTTTCTAGGCAAGCCTGATTCCCCCATGGATGCTGTAAGCCTGATTTACCATTTTTCATGGCTTGTTCATTATTTTAGAAATGAACAATAATAATAAGGACAAAATGCACTTCACCCCCTATAAGTTTTCTATTTTCACACTTGCCCCCCTAAAAATTCAATAAAGGGATACGCCCCCTTCGAAATATTATTTTGGTTGCATTTTGCCCCAGAATCCAATTTTTGGAGGGCATTGTGCGACAAAAATCACATTTTAGAGGGGCAACGTGCAAAAAATTTAGTGTTTTTAAGCGGCAGTGTGTAATAAAAATAACATTTAAACGGGCAACGGAAATACTCGATTTCGATGAATAATCCATCGGAGTTTTGCTAACGGGGCAATGTGCAACAAGAATAACATTTTGAAGGGGGAATACACTTTTAAAAATTTTGCGGGGGTAAAGTACAAAAATTAGAAATTTACAGGGGGTGATGTGCAATTTACCCTAATAATAAATTCACTTTAATAAACATTTTTTGAAATGTATTTATTTTCAATTTTGCTAAAATAAGAAATTAACCTTTGAAATAAATTTAAATCTCGGTTAATTTACTTCAAAATTATTAATATGATATTTCAAAAGAAATCCTATTTTAAGCACACATTTATACTGAGAGACGATTATTACCTCCTAAATCATCGGAATGTATACCATTAATTAAGATGAAACTTATAAATCATATTTGAATATTATTTTCTAAGTACATAATTCGTTTGTTCTGAATAATTATGGATAAAATGTTCACTAACATTTGTTACCAGATTCCGTTAGATATTGTCGTAAATGGAACGATTGCCGCGATAGCAAAGCACGGTTATATGCAAAAGCCGGAGTTGAATGTTTACCACATGTCATCTAGTGTCACGAACCCTTTACGATACTCTGAATTTTTCGAGTATCTTTACGAATATTTCAGTTCGGAACCTTTGGTAGAATCCGAAACTTTAATTAGGGTGAACTACTATGATGACATTGAAAAAATTAAATATTTCGACAATTTCAATGATTTCTCGAAATATACACGAGAAGAAATATCTCGACGTGGTGGAGGAGAAAATGCGGTAGCAACTAAGAAGGCGCAAACGCAATGCAGGGCAAAGATCATATACGCTGAGCACTTATGCAAGATGTATGAATTCTTGGGGCTCTTCAAAGCAAGGTATGAATATGCATTGACAAATTGCACTTTGCTCCCTGTATTTTTTTTTTAGATTGTCACTTCCCTCCTAAAAATTCAAAAAGTGACTGTCTCCCTTCAAAATGTTACACTACATTGTTTTTACACATGTTTAATGCATTATTTTGGTAAATGCACTCAAGTATCAAGAAATCTTGTCGATTTTTTGATCTCGAAATCAATAAGCCTTAATTGATTCTCTCAATATACGTTAGAGTATACTAAAATAACTTTACGGTCCCTGTGGTATCGGTAATTATAATCACGCCCTGAAACATTGTTAGAAACCCTAACGGAATAATGCGTTGGATAACTTATTCCGTTAGCTAGGGTTACAACGGACTATTAGTTTCAGGCAGCGGTGGAGACAACATAGAGCTCCGGGCTGACATGGCTGCCCCAACATTTCTTAAATCCTTATTATTTCATATAAGATTTATAATTTTTCGTCTATGGTAGCATTAACGGCACAACGGAAAACAAATATAAGGCATATCGGTCTCCAGCATGAAATCTTGGCTCCGATAATTCTTTCAGACATCCGACTGTAAATATCATATCACAAGGAACTTAAAGTTATCTTATACCTCACCTCAGGATGGCGGATCTAGCTATGGTCTAGGGTGTGCAGTTGCACACCCTTGGTTTTAAACAAATAATACTATTATACCTAAGTTGAACGAAAAAGTAGGTGGTTGAGGTGGTTATATGTCTCCTTTTATTAATGTGTTCCGGGTTCGAACTCCACACCCTTTCAATATTTGATTTTTTTTCCAAATCTTAACATTTTTCAACTTTTTGGTCCACTATTTTGATTTTTTTTTTCGATATTTGATTTTTTTTCCAAATCTTAACATTTTTCACCTTTTTTCTCATGAAATATTTCCACAATTCACCTAATATTTCTAAATTGTAAATTTTTGGTCCACTATTTTGATTTTTTTTTCCAAATCTTAACATTTTCACCTTTTTTCTCATTAAATATTTCCACAATTCGCCTAAAATTTTTAAATTGTAAATTTTTGGTCCACTATTTTTATAAAGTGATATTTAAATTTTTTACTCTACAATTTCGAACCCTTTGGCAAAAATCCTAGATCAGTCACTGACCCCAGGGGTGTATGGGTAATTTACCCTTATTATTATTATTAATTTATAAAAAAAATATTTTTTTTGAAGGTTCCATGCTGGCAACACTCAGAAGTTATTGTATGAAATGTCAAAGGAAGAGGTGGATAATTTTGACATTGATGTATCAAAGATAGAGTGGAGGAAGTATTTTCAAGAAGTTCACATCCCTGGTTTGAGAAAGCACGTGCTTAACGACAGAAGTATATCTGTCTAAGCAAACATGTAACCGTGTTTTTTTTTTTGTTATGTTATGTCTGAAATTTCAAGTTGTTGCAATATTGATGATTGTAAGATTTGTTCTTAATTATTAATTCGCATTCTTTTTTTTGCTTTTTTTACATCAACAGTTCTTAATATCAGCACATAACCTCTTGTGGTTGATAGATGTAGCGTCTTTTAGTTTTTCCATCAGATATTTAACTGCACGTGTCAAACTTCAAGGGGGTCATCTGAAAAAATTAAAGGGAAAATGTAAGCATAAAGGGGTCATCTGCAAAATATAGTATTTGGACGTTTGACGCGAGCTGTTAATTTTGAAGAAAAAACTAATGGAAGCTACCCCTTTCAACCACAAGAGAGTTATGTACTGATATAACGAGTTCAAGGGGGTTATTTGCAAAATGTTATAACCACAGGGGAGTCAAATGCTATTATCCTTTTTTTAATGAGAAAAGTGATTGCATTAATTAGAAAAGAGAGTCTACAAGGGGGTGACTAATGTCACGAAAACAAGAAATAGGAATACACTTTGCATGACGAACACCATCTCATTTAGACGTGAAAGCCCCAATAGCTGAATTGTGGGCTGCAAAATCTGTATTGCGCGGGCAAAGTTTGAATCGCTATTTCGGTCAAAGGGGCCAGAACTTGCGGATTTCTTTAATGATGACTTTGGAAGACCAATGTGGCACGGCGTTTTGGTCATTGATGAAAGGGTTGCATTAAGGCAATCAGACTCAAAAATGGCATTGAAAATCTTATTTAAGAGATGAATGACAATAAACAATAGAGCCATTACTGTGTCGAATAATGAAAGCAGTGGAAGCGCTACTATTAATAAATGAGAAGTATTTGTTCATTAAAGGGTAAATAGTACTTAACCTCCTTGTGGTTACAAGCTTTTGCAGATGACCTCATTGTGCTTGTAATATCAGCAAATAACCTCCTTGTAGTTGATGAGGTAGCTTCCGTTAGTTTTTCTGTCAAATTTAACCGTCTGTGTCAAATGTCAAAGTATTTTTTTTTTGCAGATGTTCCCCTTGTGTTTTCATTTTTGCAGATGACCTTAAAGTTTGACACACGCGGTTAAGTTTGACGGAAAAACTAACGGAAAATACCCCCCATAACCTCCAAGGGGATTTTGCTGATATTACGAGCACAATGAGATCATCTACAAAAGCTTGTAACTACAGGGGTTAAGATCTACTTCTTGGGAGGCTTGGACCAGTAGTGCGAGTGAAGTGATCGAGGATTGAGAGCGATAGTCAGTTGGTTGGACCGGTGAGCTTGAGCACTCCAGGAGATCTTCGACAAAGTGTCCTGCAGTGAAGAAGAAAGAGATCCATGAGTAAGAAGATTTATGTTATACCAAATAGCACACAAACCCCTGTACTATCACCACTGTCGCATTTACTTCCCTATACTATGAAATGCGACAAAACAACCCTACCTTAACGGTCAACTCTCACGTCTCTAACGACGTTAGTTTCTGCAGTGAAGTTACCTTTTTACCCTTACTTTTATTTAATAGTTCAATTTTCCGACTTGTAGAAAAAAATTGAGCACGACAGAACAAAAGTGGAGAAGAGAGAACACAGAAGTAAGAAACTTGAGAAATTTTCCCCTCTTCCGTTTCATCTTCTCCACTGCGATTGAACACAACATAGACGTTTTTGAAGCAATTCGAAGAGAACTTGGTGCAGACAAAGGTATGTTCTCAAATTATCGCGTGATTTAGGGTTAGAAGTTTTTGGAGGTTTTCACCCCACATAAAATTTGGGTTTAGATCTTCAAGGGTTGGGTTAAAGACCTATTTTTAGAGAATTATCAACACAAAACTTATGGTTGTGGGTTAGTATTCATAAAATTTAAAAAGAAATTAAAAATAATTTCTAGAATATTAAAATTTTGTTCAGAAATTTTAGGTAAAGAAAAGGGTTGGGAATAAAAACTAGGAAGAAATTGGGAAGAAATTGAGTACAAATAAGTGAAGATGATGTACATCTTTTATACACAATTAAAAGTGATAGTTTTTTTAACAGAGATGGACGGGAGGGGGTGTTCAGTCGCATTTCATAGTACAGGGGGTAAATGCGACACTGATGATAGTACAGGGGTGGAAACTGTACATGAACCCTTACTTTGTTTACTATAAACCCTAACCCCAAATTCCGTTGAATCCTCGTATTGAGGTAAAATAAGGCCAAACAGAATTGTCCAACCCTAATTTCACTATTTTTTGAAACATTTGTTGAGTTGTAACAACATATTTCTTGTCATTTTCGCCTTTGTCTTGTCCTAAAATTGCACCTCCCACATTCTTGTAACTTCATATTTGACAATGCAAGACTTCGAATATTGTATTAGTTCATGGCTTTATGGATTAAAATTATTTTAGGTGGTAAGTATAAGGACCAAAACTGTAATTATTTATTTTTGGGGAAACTACAGTTTGCACCCCTAAACTATGGGGTGAGTCACAAACACCTCCCTAAAGTACAAAACGTAACAAAATGGCCCCTCCGTTTCAAATCCGTTTGTGTATAATGACGTGGCGAGTTGACTTTGTCATTTTTTTAATTACTTTTGTAGCTACAATAATTTTTTGACCTTTTTACCCTCAATATGCTTCATCAGTATCTCTCCCTCTCGATAGACTGTATACATACACGTTCTTGTATGTACACACACATGTTCTTATAATTAATATTTATAAATATACATAATTTAATTACAAAATAAATTAATTATTTAACTCATAATTTACCAAGAAATACACTAAATTAAACCAAAGCAAAACTCAAAAAATTGTAAAACTTTGCCTCCAGAGTACCCCAAAAAATTAAACCAAAACAAAAATCAATATTTCTATTCGCTCGCTTGCAAACTTTGGTATGCGATATTTATGTTGGTGTTGGATCCCGTCAGAAAATAATTGCAGAAATCAGCGATATTGGTTAGCCACTCGTCGGTGGTGGTTATCGACGGAGACAACCAACGCCGGAATTTCATCGGCGATTTGAGAAGGTAACAAAAGGCGTGGAACATGATTGTGTGGGCGCTGTCTAGGAGGAATCCACCCCTGCGCTGTGATAGTAAACGACGAGGGGCAGTTTGGATGCCAGAGCGGGGAAAAATTCCGTCGAGGGGAGATACAAGGATGAATACTCCCCTGTGATAGTAAAGACGAGGGGCAGTTTGAATGCCGGAGCGGGGAAAAATTCCGGCGAGGGGAGATACGAGGATGAATCTTCGTTGGTGGGAATGTGTTTGCTGGGGATCAGAGATTTGGGATCGGAAGAGGCCGCGATTGTGGGAAGAATTCCGGCCGATGTGTGATGGAACCATCGGAGTTTTGGGTTTATTACAGGTGGAAACAAGCGTGCCCATTCACGTTAACTCAGATATACTATTGACATGTTGAAGAAGAGAAGAAGAAGAAGAAAGAATTGACTAGTCCAACTTTTAAAATTAAATACATTTAAGGGTAATTAAGTAATTGCCCAGAAAAACTAACGGTGTTAATTTTCTAACGTTTGACCAAAAAACGGAGGGGCCATTTTGTTACGTTTTGTAGTTCAGGGAGGTGTTTGTGACAGACCTCATAGTTAGGGATGCAAACTGTAGTTTCCTTTTATTTTTTTATAAGGGTAACAGATACACGTTTTTTAGATGATTCTTGTTGGCGCCAGATTTCTGTTAGTGAAGATTGAAGAAATCCGCCATACGTGGAAATTAAAGATTGGCAAAGATTTGTTTTTCATCTTTATTTTGGAATTAATTAGAGTCATATTCTTGTAATATTGTTATTAGGACTTAGATTTATTTCCATGTATTATATTCTAGTTACGTATCTTTTGTACTTATCTAGAATAGAATAGAAATCGACTAGGATTCTATTACCTAGTTAAATCGATTTCTTAGGGCCCAAGTTAGGCTTAGGGTGGTGATTCCGTGCCTATATAAGACCCTCAACCTCATATGAGTCCTATAGAGCTTTAATAAGAAAAATCTCAGCATAAAGGCTTTGAAGGGTGCAGCCAGTGCTGCAGCCCTGTCGGCACATCAGGTGTGGCAACAAAACAGGTTTCTTCTACCAGGCCATAAAGAAGATCGGCGTTTCGGTAGAAGTGCTTAAAAGATCTCTTGGAGAGGTCGATCTGCCGTTTGAAGGGAGTTCAACATTGGAGGAAGTCCAAGAGTGCGGATTGAGGAATTGCTTTGATTATCAACAAGTTCGAGTCGTATGCAAGAACGGCATATTACATAAAAAGGGAGTCTTTAGTGTTTTTATTAAATCCTATTAATGTACACTTGAATCTGAACTAGTTTTGCATGTCCTCGTGGATGTAGGGTACGTTTGTATCCGAACCACATTAAATTCTTGTGTTATTTATTCTGCTTTTAGTAGGTTAATTACTGTGACAACACAAGAATTCTGTTACCACACCTAATGTCGTAACATGTAATCTGTCTCAACAGATGAGTAGATTTTCATAGGCATTTAAAATCAACAATTCTGATAAACATCAAATTGTTGTAGTGATTCAATCCCACAAAATAAATCAATATCGATATATAATAAGGAATTTCTTTGTTGAAGTTTAATTAATGCATACGCACCAGTAAACATAAAAGATAAGTGATATGCCTAATTGGACCCACCCAATGGGCTTACAATTTATTTACCTACTAGGTCACGAGCCCAGTATTAAAGACCACTATCATCGAGGTCCAATCACCTTCAAATAAGGTTTGGGCCCAACAATCTCATCTAAGCTATAAATAAAGGTTTGAACTCATTCCTTAAGGTAAGTCCTATTAACTGAGCAATACTATCAACTGTGTTCTCTGGACTATTTATACTATCAGCACGTCTGACTTGAGCGTCGGAGGGGTTTCCGCCGGATCAACCCCCGGCCTAGTTCACGTGTTCTCTCTTCGCAGGTATCTCAGGGCCATCTAGCACGTGAGTAGTGATCCATTTTGCTCTCCCAGCTCAACTACTTGAGGTGATCTATTTTCTAACACTATCATAATGGCGCCGTCTGTGGGAACGCATACCAGATAACGTAGCTTGCAAGATCACTACACCATAAAATGAATTTTCTAACACATATATCCGTTAGAAATATTTTTTACAACAGCGAAAAAGCATTAGAAATAGTGCGTGAGAAATTATGAGCCTTTCATTTCTAACGGATATAAAGCATACCGTTAGTATAATAATATTTGCTAACGGATATATCCGTTAGCAATACTTTCGTAACGAATAGTTTTGTAACACTCTATCTAAAATAGTAACGGATATGCCCGTTAGACTCATAAAACAAACCATTAGAACAATATAGTTTGCTAACATATATATCCATTAGAAATACTACTGTAATCAATTAAAATAATTATATTGTGCATAAATTTAATATTTTCGTATAATTGAAATAAAATATAAGAGATTATAAAATACATACATCAACATCCATAAGAATAAATTCTCTACCATTTTCCAACATTCATCAATATTAACCGAAATATAAAAAAAAATCCATATTTACCAATTACAAGAATATTTCTACGACTGATTCATATTAACTAAAGTATCAATTCTCAAACACATGAACTCAAACATATGCTAACCAATTCTCGAGCCAAATCACATAACCCCCTTGAACAAAGCCAGCCAAAGTATCATAACCTCCTTGAGGAGGATCCCACAATCGAGCATTGGGATCAATCACTTCTTCTATATATATTTTCTTTTCATCACTTCCAACATTTTTGAAGTGACACGTCTTAGATGTACCATATGTCACCACATGCCCCATTGCTATTTTTTTACCAAACTTATCACATAAATATACTCTAGGATTTTCAGCACGAGTATTTGTTGGAGGCACTTGTGTTACTCCAAGGGTGCCTATATTAGAATTTGATCCAAGCTCACTTGAAGATGTAGGTGTTCGACTTGTTTTTTCCATTTTTTCCAATTTTGAAAAAACGGAGAGAAGCAACCTTTCAAGACCATCGATTCTTGAGAGTACCTCATGTTTCCCATCAGTTGCATCTTTAAGCGCTCTATCTTTCTGTTCAATCTTTGACTTTGCTACCGAAAGATGAGTAAGTTGTTTTTTAGATACGTAGGAACCTATTGCACGAACTCCTCCCTTTTTCTCTTTTCCAAATACTTCCGCTATCTCATCATTATCAATGTCTTCATATGCCTCTGTACATCCCTCTCCACCCAAGCTTCGACTTTTTCTTTTATTAGCTGCAGCCTTCACTTGGTCCTATCAAATTCAAATGTGAAATCGGTGAAAACTAAATGAAGATAAAATAAGATGTTACAATCTATGGAATACTTCACTTACATATTTACTCTTAGCACGCTCAAGAACTGTTCCATCAACATGCTCATGTGCAGCCAACCATTTATCAGCACGAGAAATTTGTGCTGAAGGATTTTGTTGTAACGGAACGATAAAATTAGTAAGTTAGCTGAAAAAACAAGTAGCTGGAAATTTGTACTGAAGGATATTTGAAATAATACAAACCATTAAGTATTCCTTTTGTGCATAGCTGCGACGGCCAAGACAATGAGAAAACTCCAAGTTATCTCTGTTTTGCTTGTTTTGTTTATTTGTCTCTATCTTTCTTGGATCCATCTCATTTTCTACAAACTTCCTCCAAATAATTGGGTCAATACCTGTTGGCTCAGTTTGAGTAGGACCACCTTTCTTCAAAAGTGCCCTCATCGAATTTTTGTGTGTCCTAAATTTTTGGGACCACGTTTTCTCAGCTAACGGTCGAGCAACATGTGGTGGAACATCTGGTTCAAATTCACCCTGCAATAATTAGGTTTGATTAATAATATATGAGGAAACAACAAATAGAAATATACAATAAGTACACAATCCAGATAATCACACAATTCAACAACAACATACTTTCAACGAAAAGATAATCTGACCATGTGAAATTTTTAGAGGAAAAAAATGGCCCATAAAGCTTACATTTTGTATAACACGACTGCATTTTACAAACACACTGGTCAAAATATCGAAAATCACTGAAAAGACAAATTATTTTAATGCCATAATTATATTCACTGGTAATGCTTCTATTAGTTTGATGACAAAGTTTACATATCTACATTATTATTTCAGCTCATCGAAGATCAGATCATACTTATATAAGATATCAATCACGCACAAATCATATTGAAAATTCAGACCAAAAATCTCATCGAAGATCACATCTTACTTATATAAGCTATCAATCACGCGTAAAACATATTGATAATTGAGACAAATCAGATTAAAAAAGAAGACACATACTCTTTATCTGTCATGCATTGTTAATTTTCAAAAAAATAAGTAAAGCAAATGGAAAATTAAAATTTACCATCAAAGCATTCCAAACATCATCTTTGAAATTTCGTGGAACTTCTCTGAAATCTTTGTAACTAATTGGAATGTGAGCTCTCACAAAATCACCTGTACGGGAACTCCATTTCTTCGAGTGATCACCTACTACTCCCCCATCATATTCGATTGTAATCTTTTTTTTACTTTACGGAGGAACTGAATGAGGTGGATTATAAGTATTATATTCAGGGTTACCTGCACTAGATGACATGATTCTGAAAAATATAATGTTAGATAAAGACACAAAACAACACAGATGAGTGTAGATGAACTTTATCACAGAGAATTATAACGTCAAAGACAAGTTCTTATATTGTAAGAATATTCTTATCAATAGATCTACAATGCATAAAAAGTAAAACTAATAATAAAATAAAATATTCTGAACCCAAAAATAAGAATACTTTAATCCTCACAATAAAGTAACTAATTCTAAAATTGAATTTATGTAGAACCATGTTGTTTCAACAATTCTTCCAAATGAGGCTGGTTTTCAAGAGTAGATTGAAAGCTCGTTGGTGTCTCTAGCTCATCCACTTGACTTGTCAATCTTTTCGGTGAATACAATACAACAGACCAACCTGGATTTCTAAGATCTTTTGAGTAGAATACCTGACTTGCCTCAGAAGCAAGAATAACAGGCTCATCTAACTCACTAGTACAACTCTTCAACTTACCCAAATTCACCATCACTAGATTGGAGTCTGGACAATGCTTACATCCATTTGTTTTATCCTCAATCCTCACCCAGTCGCAGTAAAATACTACATCTTTGAAAATTGTATAATCTACCTCAATTATTTGCTTAATAACCCCATACCACATAGTCCAAGCATCCTTGAGCCTTTTATCACCTTTTTTAGCCCTAAATGTAGTCCATGCATTCATACAGACACCACTATCTTGCGTCACAACGACATCATCATGATACTTGGGTGAAAATATAAAACCATTGACACGGTACTTTTTGTATGTTATAACCTCATGCTTTGGCCCTTGAACTAACCGCCACAAGATTGCCTTTGTCTCCGTCTCCTCAGACAATAACAACTGTGTTATTAAATAAATTTGAGTACAATATAATTATTGTTTAAATAAGATAATATATTAATATTCTTACTAACAAAAATACCTTTTCATATAACCAGGGGATGAAAGAGGTTTAAAGTTCTACTTCTGTTTTCATTATTCCTTTTCCTTTACCATAACAAGTAGAACTCAAAAAATCTTTATACTCGCTGCAATTCATATGTAAGTTGAGATATTATTAAGTATTTACAGCGCTAAGAACTCAACAAAACAAATATTATAAGAACACAAACCTGTAATATTCACTGAGTCCATCAACATTAAGCCGAAATAGTATCCACCGACGTATTTGTTGAAATTGTATAGGTTCCAACTTCATATTAACACCCTCAAGCAAAGGACCTTCATCAGAAAACTCTCCATTTTCTTCTAGAAAAGCTTCGCGACTATGTTTATGATTTCCATCGAGTGAATTTGGCATGTATTCCATGCAATACCTAACGGATTCTCCAACAATATAAGACTCCGCAATAGATCCTTCAACGTACCTCTTATTACTAGGTATGTCTTTGAACTCTTTCATTTTCCTATTTATATTAAAATAATAATAATATTATTAATTAGTTAATAAAATAAATTATATTACTTATTTAATAATAATAATAATAATAATAATAATAATAATAATAATAATAATAATAATAATAATAATAATAATAATAATAATAATAATAATAATAATAATAATAATAATAATAATAATAATAATAATAATAATAATAATAATAATAATAATAATAATAATAATAATAATAATAATAATAATAATAATAATAATAATAATAATAATAATAATAATAATAATAATAATAATAATAATAATAATAATAATAATAATAATAATAATAATAATAATAATAATAATAATAATAATAATAATAATTAGATCAGAATATTGGAATGTTTTAATTTACCGTTCAAAAGGGTACATCCAACGAGGTCCGACAGGTCCACAGATTAATGCTTCATCGGTGAGATGTACCATGAGGTGAATACTAATATCAAAAAAAGATGGTGGAAAGTACTTTTCCAGCACACACAATGCCTCCGCAATCATGTATTTGGCTCTTTGGATATCCTTTCGAATTAATACTTTTGAGCACAGCAGGTTAAAGAATAAACTTATTTGTTGAATTGCTCTACGCAAGTCTCGATATTTAGGGAAGGCATGCTGAAGCAATGTAGGTAACAAGTATTCCACAATGACATGATAATCATGTGACTTTAATGAATGCAGACCAGGAGGGTTAAGGGTCACAATATTACTCAAGTTAGATGAAAAGTTGGAAGGGAGTTTTAAGTCTTTCAAAATTTGGCAAAACTGTTGTTTCTCATCTTTATCCAGGAGAAATGGTGCTTTTGGTTTTATCATATTTCCCGTTTCATCGTCTGCTTGCATCCATTGACGACTGTGCATGCCAATATCTTTCATGTCAAGACGAGCATTTACAGTATCCTTAGATTTAAATTTATCATCTAAAACTGTGCATATTAAATGCTCAGCTACATTCTTCTCAATGTGCATCACATCAAGAACATGACGAACTTGATGGGAACTCCAATATTCCAAGTCAAAGAAGATAGATTTTTTATACCATGCTTCTTTACCTTCGCTTTCACCTCTTTCGTTTGAAATGACCGTCTTTCTTTTTCTCCCTGAAGCTTTTGGAATCTTGCCAGGTATATACCTTATATGACTTAACTTTTCCAAAAGAGCATTTCCGTTTAAACGTGGTGGAGGACATCTATACTCAGGTGACTTAAGCGACAAAAATCCACCCCTTCTGAACGGGTGATCCATATTAAGGAACATTCGATAATTTGTATACACTATCTTCCGACTATAATCTAAGTGGATGGATGGAGTATCGTCTCCACAAATAGGACACGCTTTGTAACCATGTGTTATGCACCCAGATAGATTTCCATAAGCAGGAAAATCATGAATTCCCCACATTAGCATCGCTTTTAAGGTGAAAGATTCCTTTTCATAACTGTCAAAAGCTAACACTCCTTTTTCCCACAACAGCTTCAACTCTTCTACTAGTGGTTGAAGGAAAACATCAATGTCTTGACCTGGTGCTTTTGGTCCTGGAATTAGTAACGACAACATTTGGAATTATCGCTTCATGCACAATGAAGGAGGGAGATTATAAGGCACTGTGATCACAGGCCAACAATAACTGTAGCTTGAGGATTGGATGCCACGGGGATTGAATCCATCAGTTGCAATTCCAAGAAAAATATTCCGTCGCTCATTAGAAAATTCTGCCCATTTACTCTTAAACATTCCCCACTGGGGAGAATCAGATGGATGCCGCATGTATTCCCATGAAGAGGTTGATCTATCATGCCACGTCATCTCATGCGCTATCCATGGTATAGTGTAAAGTCTAATTAGTCTGTTTGTGACAGACCTCATAGTTAGGGATGCAAACTGTAGTTTCCTTTTATTTTTTTATAAGGGTAACAGATACACGTTTTTTAGATGATTCTTGTTGGCGCCAGATTTCTGTTAGTGAAGATTGAAGAAATCCGCCATACGTGGAAATTAAAGATTGGCAAAGATTTGTTTTTCATCTTTATTTTGGAATTAATTAGAGTCCTATTCTTGTAATATTGTTATTAGGACTTAGATTTATTTCCATGTATTATATTCTAGTTACGTATCTTTTGTACTTATCTAGAATAGAAGTAGAAATCGACTAGGATTCTATTACCTAGTTAAATCGATTTCTTAGGGCCCAAGTTAGGCTTAGGGTGGTGATTCCGTGCCTATATAAGACCCTCAACCTCATATGAGTCCTATAGAGCTTTAATAAGAAAAATCTCAGCATAAAGGCTTTGAAGGGTGCAGCCAGTGCTGCAGCCCTGTCGGCACATCAGGTGTGGCAACAAAACAGGTTTCTTCTACCAGGCCATAAAGAAGATCGGCTCTGGCTTGCCACCTCC